GTGACCAGCAGTGCCGGATTTATTCTCTCTGCTGCCCCAAGGCCAGGTTACTCAATGTGCCCCCCTACCCGCCAAACCCCTCTCCCCCATGGAGAATGGCAGACCTGCAGGCTGCATACAAGTGATCTCTGCGACATCGCCGAGATCACTTGTACAAAGCAAGCGGCGGTTTCCCCGCTGTACATTCAGCTCTGCTTACCCAAAGCCGGGCTAAATGTAGAAAACAACTGCCTGCCCAGCGCCCGGAACTGCATGTCCCTGGTATCGGGAGATAGGAATTCCACACCCCTGCTGCCCCTCTACTCCCCGCTGCCCCAAAGTCGGGCCTTGGTTGGCCTTGTGGGAAATCCTGCCCTGGTGAACAAGGCCCTGGCGCTTCACCGCTGTCCTAAAATCATTAGTCTGTATTGCTTTAGAAAAACTGTCACATGACACTAAACAAAAGTATCGGTAATTGGTGTCAGGGGGTACTTGAGGAAAAGTATCGGCACTCGCACTCGGCCTGAAAAAAAATTGTATCGGTGCATCCCGTCCTTTTAGCAAACTAACGGGGTTCTTCACAAAAGGGTGAAGAGATTGGAGAAGGCCGGAGAAGTGAACAATCTAGGCCAGAGTAGCTGATTTGGAAAAAATCTCCAATTCAGCTCACTTTCCAGTTCAGCTATGTTGTCCTAGATCAGGGGTGGGCAACCTCGGCTCTCCAGCTGTGCTGAAACTACAAAACCCATAAGGCATTGCCAGCCACAGGCATGACTCCCAGAGGCAGACGCATGATGGGATTTGTAGTTTCAGCACCGCTGGAGAGCCAAGGTTGCCTACCCCTGTCCTAGATCGTTCACTTCTCCTGCCTTCTCCAAACTCTTCACCCTTGTGTGAATAACCCTGTAAATGTCATTGGGGTTTGCAACTACTTTAAACCACCACTCGGGGGCAGTGACGCCATAACCTAACCTCGGTAATCCATTAACCATCATCTGCGGGACTCTATAATAAATGTCAAATGTAACTTTTTATCTGTGCAATAAATCAAAGCAACTGGGCTTTTCTTAAAGGAGGTGAGTGCTTTTCACTCACCTCATAGTTCTAGCCGACCTGTGACAATAAGACTGTCAAAGGTTGGCTCAGTAGATCGGGAGGTGAGCGGACACATAACGGCGTTCGCTCACCTTTCCATCCTGTCACGGCTCTCTGCCGTGACAGGGGAGGGGGCTGGATACCCCGCTCCGATCCGCCAGCGCTGACTGGCGGAACGGACGGGGGAGGGGGCGGGTACAGCTGGATCTGACTCTAGATAGGCAGAGCCAGCTGTCAGTCACGCAGCTGAGAGGATCCCGGGACAATTGTCGGGATCCGCTTCAGCTGCGGCGTCTCAGTATACCGCGAGCAGCAGCTCCCTATATACTGAGCCTAGGGTGACGGGAGGACGCTAGTTTGTGTCCTCCCATTACCCTAAGGAAAAGCCTTAACCCCATAGTTCTCCTTTTAAAGACGTTTCGCGGGTCGTGCGACTAGCTTTCTCCATTCAGAATGGTGGAATAAAGTATACAGTTCCATTTAAAGAAGGTGCCATGTGTTTTATTTATACCAATCGGCTGACCTGATTATCATATTTTCATGTTATTGTTAATCTTCTGGTCTGAGCTCTGCTCTTCTTTATTGAAGGTGTTTCCACAGCCCTCCCGCACTTATCACGAACTGTGTGTAAGAAAATACCCTCAGACGGGCCAAAGTAACGATTGGCCCCAAGGGTCGCAGCTACGGGAGGCCAGAATGACCCCGTTTTGGAGGGCCGTTGGGAACAAACCCGTCGGAGCTTATTGCCAGCAAGGGCTCGAGTGTACCACTAAGGTCTGCAGGTAAGAAATAAAGAATTCCAGTGAATACACGTATATTATATTATTAAATCTAGCGTGCACTATATCAACGGTATTAGGATATACAGGAGCACATTAAAACACAACTACAGGGTCTTCTTAAATGTCCTCCAGCAGTCTCGGCTGCAGCACTAACCTCCTGTCCGGTGTTGACCCCCCCCGCAATAATTGTTGAGGATGCATTTAAAATTATTTTGATTTTTGTTTGCCCCCTGCTACACTATGGGGTGTAGTTATTAAATGTTGGCAGAGCCGTTCGCTATGGACGAATCTGGCTTTCACAGTCATTCTGCATGATGACCACTAGATGGAGATGAAGAGTATTGGATTTTCCTATGCTCCATCTAGCGGCCATCATGCAGTATCGATTATTTTTCGGGGGGGGGGGTCAGTGGCGGACCTAATAACCAAAAGGCCCTGGTGCAAGATTTTATCTTGGGGCCCCCCTCCCAAGACGGCGGGGGGGATGGGGCGCGGGAGCAGATCACACTGGCCTCCGTACCACTTCTATCCGACTCTGTGACTGCGATCTCACATCCCACCCCACTCACAAAGTCGGAGAGAAGTGACATTTCGGGACCGATCAGCTGTTCCAGGGCAGATCGGTTCTCCTGCACATATCATCTGCGATGCCGATCTGCCCTGGAACAGCTGAGAAAGCGTTGGAATGCTTGACCTATTGGCGGTCACACATCCCACGGCCAAAAAACTGGGCGGGATTACGTTAAAATGTGTGACCAGTCACACATTCTAACGAAGTCACAAACTTTGATAGAACAGAGGCCTGTCTGTAATCATTCAATCAGAGAAATAGATTATAATAGGGAACATTACAGGGAAATGGGGCATGATATAGCTACTGGCTCTCTGTTCTAAACTGCACTCGCAGCATCTTGCAAAAGGACGTCTTCCAGAGCCAACTGAGATGGCGACCAAAAAGAAGCAGCGGTCTCTCTGCAGAACTCTAACACTCCCCCAGCCAGAGTCAGATCAAGCGCTCTCCAATCAGCAGGGTGAATGAGCTTTCTATTAGATTTCCTGAATACATTCAACATGTTACAATGTTACTATAATAAGATGTGACGAGGAACCTCCATCCCCAGTACAGTGAATGAGCGGAACGGTGAATATGCTTTATTATCTCTTGTATGTTCTCCCTCCAGGAGAGGACACTGCTCCTTCCTCCAACACAACTGGTTCTAACGAGTCCTAGAGAAGACCGACCATGGACAGTGTGACGAGGACCCAATCCATGAGGATCATGTGACCTCCTGTCATCTGAAGTGTTGTATCAATAAAGTTATGAGTGAACTACGGAATTTAATCCGCTTATTTATTTCTATTGTAATCTCCTTATACAGGGTGACTGGTCTTGCCTCCGCCCCCTCCTGTAATAAAGACCGGTCACTGCTGCTCTCTCTCCTTGTACAGGGTGACTGGTCTTGCCTCCGCCCCCTCCTGTAATAAAGACCGGTCACTGCTGCTCTCTCTCCTTGTGCAAGGTGACTGGTCTTGTCTCCGCCCCCCTTCCTGTAATGAAGACCGGTCACTGCTGCTCTCTGTCCTTGTGCAGGGTGACTGGTCTTTCTCCGCCCACTCCTGTAATAAAGACCGCTCACTGCCTCTCTCTCTTTGTGCAGGGTGACTGGTCTTGTCTCCGCCCCCCTCCTGTATCAGGGTGACTGGTCTTGTCTCCGCTCCCCCTGTAATAAAGACAGCTTACTGCTGCTCCCTCTTTGTGCAGGGTGACTGGTCTTGTCTAGTGGATTTATATCCTTTGTGACTATTGAGGAATAGATATTATAAAAACTTGGTGCCCAGAGCTTTAATTGCTCCTAGGATGGAAATCATCTGAAGAGATCTGCAAACTAAAATGTTTTATTATTTATTTATTATTATTGTTTATTATTATTATTTATTTTTATATTCATGATTCGGCAAGAATTTAAACAATATGTTGATAAGGATAAATGTCCTGAGAAAGTGGAACTGAGCAAAAGTAAAAAATGACGTATAGGACGCCGTCTGTTACGAGCGTGGCGCAGCAGTTTATTTGTAAGCCGGCTCTGGCAGCGAAAGGGTTAAAGAAAATGAGTAAAAGCCCGGAGTCCGGCAATTGTCACTTTCCTGGCCAGCTTGGCCTGCATGTGAATGTGGAGGGAAAAAAAAAATGTGAGGCGAAAAGCTGCACATTGCCAGGTTTAAAGATGGCCGACTCTGCTCTGATCACATGACCTGGTGTGTCCCTGCTCGGATAGTCCTGGGGAAACAGGAAGTGACCCAGCAGACAAACACGCAGAGTGACAGAGGGAAGGACGGTAGGGTGCATTTATATCATATGTGGCCCTGTAAATTCTGGGTACAATCTCTGTGATTGGATGGAGGGGGGAGGGCTCAGACAGTTTATTGTGCAGGAAGCTGCCCTATAGCCTGCGTCCCTGGAGCGATCAGACGATTGGTTGCCTGCAGATCTCAGCGCCCCACCGATAGCCGATTCATCCCAATAGATCAATTAGAACACTTTAGTTTCACGGCTCTGGCAGAATCGGGTCAGCGCTTAGCATAGTAGAGCCCTGTGCAGACGCAAAGCATGCTGGGAAATCTAGCTTGGGAAACATTGTCCTCACTATGGGGAGCTGGAAAGTTATCGGTGGGATTGCAAGTGATACTTCACAAGATCATAGCTGGTGCATAGTATGGAAGCCCTTTCCTCCACAGCCTGACCCCGCCCCTATCATTCATTGGATTTCAGATCTGTCAATCATGGAGGCTCAGCATGCAAATGCAGCCTGCCTAGGAACGCCCACTCCTCTAGATTGACACACTCCCATCAAGGCATTTTGATATTTGCATAACTCCTCCCACTGCTTGAAGCGGGGCCGAGGGCTCTTGAGAGGAGTACTGAGGTATAGCACCATGCCGGCCCCTCCCACCAATCATGATCTGTCATAGAGACCCGGTGATGACATCACTGGGTCTTAAATAAGGTGTGGCATGCAAATGGGGAGGGTTTCTTTAAAAATGTCATTAAGATGTTTCCAAAATATGAGCAGATTAAGCTTCAGCTTTATTAAATCCGGTTAACATTGAGTGTTGGTTCCCCTATCACAGCACGGGCTCCCGAACGATGGATCCCAAGTACAAGGACATCCTCCGAAACCTGCGTCTTGAATTGTGTTCCCACGCCGTGGCCGACGGGCTCGTTCCGCAGTACCTGTACCAGGAAGGCGTCATCACCCGCGAGCAGCTGGAGGACATAAGTGGCCAGGCCACCAGCCAGAGGAGAGCCATGAAGCTCTTGGACATCCTGCCGTCTCGCGGACCGAAGGCGTTTGACGTCTTCCTGGACTCGCTGGCGGAATTCCCGTGGGTCCGGGAGAATTTACAGCAGCACATCAAGAAGAGCCCTCTGGAGAGCAAGCCCATGGAATTGCCCGCCAATGTCTTACAGAACTGCCCCAACGACCAGCAGCTGAACCTCCTGGCGGGAAAGCTGGGTTTGGAATGGGAGCAGGTTCTGGGCCACCTAGGGCTGGACCACGGCGATGTGTACAGGTGTAAAGTACAACATCCCGGCAACCTGCACTCGCAAGTCATGGAAGGACTCGTGAAATGGAAACAACACATGGGACGCAGGGCCACCATACAACATCTGTGGGAAGCTTTAGAAGCCGCTGAGATGGATCCTTCAGAAATTAAACTGATTTTACAATGACGTTCCTCGTGTGTATCAACTAATTGCAGCTTAGTTTGTGGACACCCAACTGGATGCACCAAAATCACCGCCATTTAAAGGATGGTCCTGACTCTTAATATGTGGTCCGCCCATCACACCCACTTTCCAGGTTGGTCCTGGCTCTTAATATGTGGCTCGCGCAACACACCCTCTTTCCACATTGGTCCTGACTGTTAACACGTGGTCTGCTCATTACACCCACTTTCCAGATTGGTTCTCACACTTAATATGTGGGGAATAGCCCATCACACCAACTTTCCAGGTCTTGACTCTTAATATGTGGCCCGTCCATCACACCCTCTTTCCAGATTGGTCCTGACTCTTAATATGTGGTTCGCCCATTAAACTCACTTTCCATATTGGTCTTGACTCCTAATATGTGGCCCATCCATCACACCCACCTTCCAGGTTGGTCCTGACTCTTACTATGTGGTCCGCCCATCACACCCACTTTCCAGGTTGCTCCTGACTCTTACTATGTGGTCAGCCCATCACACCCACTTTCCAGGTTGGTCTTCCTGACTCTTGATATTCCAGGTTGGTCCTCACCCTTAATATGTGGGGGAATAGCCCATCACACCAACTTTCCAGGTCCGGCCTCTTAATATGTGGTCCGCCCATCACACCCACTTTCCAGGTTGGTCCTGACTCTTACTATGTGATCCGCCCATCACATCCACGTGAAAGGTTGGTCCTGCTCACACACCCCGCCCACAAATATGCGGGAATGTCTTTTTGAGTTACTGCGCAGTGACTCAATAAGGATGACGCTGTGATCCCAGGACACAAGATCTTCAGGACAGTGGGCCAAGAGAGTATTAATGTGGAATTGAACCCCGGCCTTTGCAGCTATAACAGCCTCCACTCTTCTAGGAAGATTAAAAATGCACATTTGTTAAAAAAAAAAATCTTTGTTTTTTATTTCCTAACCTGCTTCAGTTCTGTAGAGACTTGAGAAAAGCCATAGTGGCAACTTCCTCAAGCTTCCATAATCAAAGGTTCCGTCTCAGTGTTATAAGATAAATATTGTACCCCCGCCATCCCTGTAAATGTGCGGCCTCTATAACATAAAAAAAAACTAAACACTCACCATAGGAAACCTAAAGTCAGTGGTGGCATGTCTGACATTTAGAGTAAAAGGTAATCCTGCCACGATTGAGCCATTCTCATGTGTTTAAGGCCATGCAGCCATCAAAGAAGCCGGGGCCTAGGATTGCCTTCGCCTAACAGACCGGGACTGGTGTCACCGGGAGCACGCACTCTAGGGGGCGGTATGTACACACTGGCTGGAGTCACACTGTGCATGGTAAAAGAAAAACAAACAAAAAAGATATTCTATGAAATAAACCACCCAGACCACCACTTTTATTCAAAGTCAAGGCACAACGTTTGTGTTGTTCTTTTGGTGGAGTACAGAAGGGATTAAACCTTGTATTTAGAGTCTGTATCCCCCCCTCGTGAGATTATACTTCCTGTCTCAGAGATGCAACAGGAAGTAAGAAAAACAATCTCTCAAAATGAAGGGAAGTTGCCTCTTAAACAGATGCCACCAGAAAAGGTTTTCCTCATCAGAAGATGCCACCAGACTAGGTGCCCCCATCAGAAGATGCCACCAGAAAAGGATTCCCCATTAGAAGATGCCACCAGACTAGGTGCCCCCATCAGAAGATGTCACTAGAAAAGGATTCCCCATTAGAAGATGCCACCAGACTAGGTGCCCCCATCAGAAGATGTCACCAGAAAAGGATTCCCCATTAGAAGATGCCACCAGACTAGGTGCCCCCATCAGAAGATGTCACCAGAAAAGGATTCCCCATTAGAAGATGCCACCAGAAAAGGATTCCCCATTAGAAGATGCCACCAGACCAGGTGTCCCCATCAGAAGATCCCACCAGAACAGGTGACCCTATCTAAATATGCCACCAGACCAAGTGTCCCTATATAAAGATGCAACCAGAACGGGTGTCCCCATCAGAAGAGGTCTCCAGAACAGGTGTCTCCATCAGAAGGTGCCACCAGAACAGGTGTTCCTATCTATAGATGCCACCAGAACAGGTGTCCCCATCTGAAGATTTCCCTTTACCCCTTGTTCTAGTGACAACTTGTCAAATTTTGGATTTCCCCTCACTGGTCAGCAGAACAGATAGAAGGTAATTCCGCCCAATGAGGCGGAGGGTCTCACCCATCCCCCATCAAAAAAATACATTTATACACATTACATACATCTGGAAGACCCTTTCCACTGAAGAGTTCTCCAATCTCCTCTTGATTATTTTGATAAATAAACGATAAGAATATCAAACTTACTATCATTACACACAACTACCAATGTTTATACCACTTATACACCTCACTGATCATGACGTTATATCTCACACACCAGCAATAACTCTGTATGTGGTTTGTGAATTAATTTTATAGCTTCAAATGATGGAGGGGACACCTTGAAAGGGACCTTTAGTGTCACTGGGTCCCCATAGATCAGCTCTGTCCTGTCACTGGGTCCCCATAGATCAGCCCTGTCCTGTCACTGGGCCCCCCATAGATCAGCCCTGTCCTGTCACTGGGTCCTATAGATCAGCCCTGTCCTGTCACTGGGTCCCTATAGATCAGGCCTGTCCTGTCACTGGGTCCCCATAGATCAGCCCTGTCCTGTCACTGGGTCCCTATAGATCAGCCCTGTCCTGTCACTGGGTCCCCATAGATCAGCCCTGTCCTGTCACTGGGCCCCCCATAGATCAGCCCTGTCCTGTCACTGGGTCCCTATAGATCAGGCCTGTCCTGTTACTGAGTCCCCCATTGAACTCCCCTACACGCCCCGCCCTCCCTGTCAATCAAACACCCACCGCACAGCCGCGCCCCTACCACCTCCTCCCTGCCACGATACGCTCTCAGTGCCCGCCCCTTCAGCTCCGTCCCGCCACTCACAGCGCGGTGGGCGTGTCCCCGCACACGAGTGTGTTTGTAGGGTGACCCAGTCCCAGGTCTCAGTGGTGGAAGTTCGGGCAGGAAGTGCGGAGTCACCCGTGTATGGTGGCATTCCCCGGGGACAGGGCACCGAATACCGGGAGGTAACGAGGCCGATTTGTTTAGAACTCTGAGCTGAGGAGTGATGACTGGTGTATGGGGACGGGTACAATGTAAACTTTCCTCCTGAGTGTGGTACAATGTATACAAAGTGTATGATCGGTGCTGTGTGTATTGATTGTTGTTTATAAAGTGTAGAGTGGATACAATGTATATAAATTGTATGATCAGTGCTGTGTATGTTGTGTGTAGCTTTGTCCAGGGTCAGGAACTCTCTCTGTGTTCATGAATGGCAGATTCCAATTACCCCCCCTCCCCATGTGTTGTCTGTTGTCAGGATGATTTGCTGGGGAATGAGCCGGGAGGATGAATCTCAAACTCCAGACTGACAGCTAAAATACATACAAGGGAGCTGTGTTAAGGCTTCATAGGTCTGTCCATCCAGTTCTGAGATTTAAACAGCGCTACCCAACAGCACACAGACCGCTGCCACCCCTAGATCTGTACCTGATCCCTAAAATCTCATGACCCTCCTTGTCCAGGCACTTCCTGTTATAGGGTGACAACTCTCTGTCCTTGTTCAGGCACTTCCTTTCTGACAGGGTAATAATGCTCTGTCCTTGTTCAGGCGCTTTCTGTTATAGGGTGACAATGCTCTCTCCCTGTCTTCCAGTTGTACTCCTGCGTTGTCACCCTGTCACATGGGCTTCCAATGGAGTCAAATTCAGCACCCATTACACAGACATGGTCTACTGTTGTCACTAGCGATGCACTGATACTGTTTTTTTTGGTATCGAGTACAAGTACTGATATTTATCTTTCGGTACTCGCCGATACCGGTACTTCCCCTAGCATGGAGCCGGCTTCCTGATCATTGGCTGACCACAGGGGATTGCACACATGGGGGATATTGAATAACAGGGTGGTGACCGTTCTGCTTCCTTCTCCTCGGCGCTCTGTCTAAATCTCCCCGATTATCAGCACCAGAGCAGCCCTGCACCACCGGCGCCGGGTCCACGCTCGGTCATTTGTATCTACAGCAGACAACACGCAAAGCTCTGTATCCAATCCAAGTCATACAAAGTTCCCGAGTCATGTTCGGCTTCTATGTCAGACGTTCATGTTGTGAAATCTTCTAGAACGGCAACATTGTATCTCCCGCCAGAGTGCCAAGTACTTGTAGATGTGACCCCCAAAACCATCTGACACCCCGAACTCACCCAAATACCCCCGACCCCACACTAAGTGTGAGGTGAGAGGACCCCCAGTGATGTCACTTCTGGTTCATCTGATGCACCCGCTACAGATTAGAATGCTCCCTCCAGAAGGAAACCGCACCCCCTCTTTGTGTACCCCAATCAGTCAGCCAACCGGTCTCTGCATGCGTGTACCAGCGTCAGACAGTCCATGGATCTGCCAGTTTTATAGAAGCCTGATCTTCCCGGGAGATTAATAGTTGTCCAAGGAGCCTGCCCAGGAGGCAAGGAGCCTGCCCAGGAGGCAAGGAGGCTACCCAAGAGGCAAGGAGCCTGCCCAGGAGTCAAGGAGCCTGCCCAGGAGTCAAGGAGCCTGCCCAGGAGTCAAGGAGCCTGCCCAGGAGGCAAGGAG